GCCAATACACGTCAGCTCCCAGACATAGTTGTTGATTCTGGCAGGTCAATGCAGGGCCTTAGGATTGGGAACTCTTCTTGTGATAGGATCATCCCTAAAAAAAGGCATTTGAGATGACTGTTTCTACTTTGTATTGACAATGTGGACTATTGTAGGGCAAGGTATGGGAAAAAATGAAGCAAACCCTCAGTCCCTACATTTCATTCCATCTTGATGAACAAATGCTATCTTTCCAGGGTGGAAGTGAAAAGCTTATCTGAGGAAAGGTTCTTCCTCACTCGCCACCCTTCAAGGTAGACTCCAATTTGGGATTTAAACTGTAAATCTTAAAAATATCAAGAACATCTGTGCATTCTTGATGGGCCTGCCACATGGCTTACTTGGAAGGTGTGATTCAGACCTGGGAAAAGAGGACATTTTCTAGAAAGTAGAACCTCTCAGAGGCGTACTTCTCCAAGTTGGTGAAGCGGCTAGGCTGCTTGACATTTATGGGGGATGTAAACACTGGGGTAAACAAAAATCAAAGAGATTCCTTTACTGTGAACTTCTAGAGCCTTTCCTGTACTAATGAGAGTTGTGAGTAACTAAGCAAAGACATGGATAATGTAGCTTTTGCAAACTTAAAGGAGACACTTTGTTTTCTAGTCCTGCTGATTGACAGCAGTTAGACTTTCTTGCTACATTTGTTCTTGAATCACCCAGTTAGTTTCTTCTAGGCTCTCCATGTATCCCTCATCAAGCTGCTGGTTTTTTAAAAATTATTATTACTGTTCTTTTTTTGTTGTTTATTTATTCATTTATTCATATGTGCACACATCGTTTGGACCATCTCTCCCTCCTGCCCCCCTCCCCCTCCCCTCCCTTGATGCTTTTGTACAACATAAAGCTGTTGGCCTGGCAGTTCAACTTTCAGGCCAGAATAAGTGGATCTTTCTTTTCTTAACTGCTAATAGTTAGCTTTCTTGTGATTTATGTCATTTTTAGTGAAAATAAAATGAACACAGATACTTTTATAAGATGAAGTGGTCAAATTTATACATGGGAAAAGTTTATGCGTTTATTTTTTATTTATTTTTTTTAGCAGTACTGCAGTTTGAACTCAAGGCCTCACAGTTGGTAGGCAGATGCTCTATCTACCAGCCCTTTTTGTTTTTTGTTGTTTTTTTTTTTTCAGGTTTTTAAAATAACCTTTATTAAGTTAACATGTGCATTACAGGAAACAAACATATGAAGCAAAGAACAAAATCATCCATAGCCACAAGCAGTACAGTTGGATTGTCCTAAATCCTGTGTGTACACACAACAATCCATTTTAGGTAACTGAGATCGTATGGTCTGTGTCATGCTTTTCCACACATTGTGAATACTCACCAACTCAATCCCAAAACTATATGATCTACCAGCCCTTTTTGCTTTAGATATTTTTCAGAGAGGGTCTCGTGATTTTTGCCTGGGCTGGTCTGGACCATTGTCTTTCCTATCTCTGCCTCCCAGGTAGCAGGGATTGCAGGTGTGAGCCACCATGCCTAGCCTGAAATGTTTTTAATGTTCAATTATCCACATATTGTACATATTAATGTCACAAAACTAAAAAATAAGAAATATATAGACATAATGTTGGTACCAAGATACTTTTAACTCAAATGCAAATAAAATGAAATTAATGTAACAAAGTTAAGGTAATTATTTCAAATAGGCCAAGGCAATCCAAATAAAGATCCTATTTACCAAACTTCTCCTGTTTATTGATCTCAGTTTATACTATACACTAAGGTACAGTATTTCTAAAAGCAATCCAAAAATGAAACAGTGGTTTGTAATATAAAATATGTAGTGCAAGTGAGTCATAAAATTGAAAAATGGCTGTTTGCCAGTAACCACATAAATTTTGGAGGAAATATATTTTCTATAGGAATGATTTGTTGCAGAAATAGAAAGTATACATTAAAAGCATTAAAACAGTGAAAAATGACCCAAAATATGTGAATTAATTAGTCACAAGCATAACATATATTATCTACATAATTCATTTTGAAAATCATCAGGTTTAATTAATTTTAGGTAAGGGACTGAATCTGAAACAAATGTAGTAAAACAGTGATTTCTCATGCAGACACCACTTATCTTATTATGTGGCTTTCTACTTCTCAAGTGTAGATCTCCAACTATGCATTCGTGTATTCACAAACTCACGAATCTCTTCTCTCCATAGGAGGCATTTTGTTGGGGAGTATTTGCTTTTCGTTTTCCTGGAGAGTCTGTTCTCTACTTGTATGCTTGTCTCCTTGTAGCCTTACTGTTGGATGCAAGGACATGCTGCCATTTTGATGCTTCTAGCAAGAAGGAAAACGCAACCCCTACTTCATTTCCTGGAAACTCTCTACTGAAGCCAGGAACTCTTGACAAATTTTCCAGGTTGACTTATGGAGGGAGTTGGCTAAAAACTCCCCTTACTTATCCATACATTTGGGAGTTGGTATGGCCCAAAGGCAAAGGAAGAAGAAAGGAAATAGGTTCTCCTCACCCACTCCTGGCTAATAGACCATACAGTATTCTTGGTTTCTGCATCCCATCAATCACTTAAGATGGAGGCAGGGAAATTCTGATTCACTCACACTAGTGGCATCAGTAATCAAAAACTAAGCACAGAATGCTAAGCATCCTTCTGTAATTTCACTTACAAGAAATGCCGTATGCTCTTCCTCTTTAAACTTCACTTGGAAAATACAGAAAACAAGAAAGAATTTAAATTTCCTGAATCTGTGTTCCTATTTCACAGTTCTGTTAGAGTATAAAATGAGACAATGCAAATGAATCCATTAAAACCTGGAATATAATGAGTGTTCACTAAATGTAAACTGTACTGCCAAAATATAAAAGCTATTAAAATTTTGGTGCATTTCTGTCCAAATTTTTTCTATGTAAAGGTAATTGTGTTTTATTTTTATCATAAAAATAATAGACATAGAAGTTTTCAATGTTAAAAATGAAATATAGCAAATGGTGTGCAAATCATTCAGTATACAATTGAATGAATTTTCATAAACTGAACACAACCTGTGGTAAATCGCCCATTAGCAGCACCTAAAAAAAAATCTCATTTGCCTTCTAATCACTATTCCCACCCTTGCTAGATAACTGTTTTCTGGACTTCCAACAGCATAGATTCGTTTGTCCTGTTTTTGTTTGGAATAGGATTATTTGTTATGCTAACAACTTTGAACCTTACTCACTCTCGTATCTCATAAGATATTAGTAATGTCTGCCATGTTCCTTAGTGTTCACCATGTCTGGCATTCTGTTAAGCAGTTTACAAGCATTTCATTATTTTCATAGCAAATATATGAGATAAATATTACCTATTTCAATACTGTCCGTTACCACTCTTCATAACAATGTATTCCAAGCAACACAACTTATTGATCAGATTAAATGTTTAAGACCTGGAATATCATTCCTGGTTTAAATTTAACTACTTCTCTTTTAATTTTATTTGCAGTATGGAGACAATAATACCAACTTCATAGGATTTTTAAAAGAACTAAACAGAGCATTATAAAGAACATAGTTCTGGTTGTTGTTTTTAATTTGAGATGGAGTCTTTCTGTGTTGTCCAGGCTGGTCCTGAACTCCTGCGATTGAATTCCTGAGCTCAAGTCATCCTCCTGCTTTAGCCTCCCAAGTAGCTGGGACTTATAAGGATGTGCCACCATGTCTGGCTTATAAAGCACATAGAATAGGACCAGTTATACAATGCTACATGAGTTTTTGTTCAATAAAATATCATCACGTGTTCTTCAGAAGCACCTTTTTAAGAGACTGCATATCATATCATTTGGTAGATATAATTTTCCTAACCATTTGCTCTTACTGTTTTAATTTTTTCAATGCTATATTTTTTTCTTTTTTTTGAAATGAGGTCTCAACTATGTTGCCCAGGCTAGTCTTGAACTCCTGAGTTCAAGCCATCCTTCTGCCTCTGCCTCCCATGTAGTGGGGACTACAACCACATGCCACTTTTTTTTGTTTTTCCTTGTTGGTGCTTGAGATCAAACCTAGGGCTGCACATGCTAGACAAACACTGTGCTATCAGTGAGCAATATCGCCAGCCCCTCAGTGTTACGAATAACTTTTTAAGGAACATGTACACACTGTTCTTTTTAGTATGTGCGCATTTTATACTGTGCATTTACGTGCTTTATTAGTTACAGCCAGTACAATTTAGAAGTTCATCGAAGCCACTGAGTGGCTTGGATCTTTGGAGAAGCATGGCTAACTGCCATTTCACTGCCAAATGGGAAGGGAATGTATTTCATAATGTCCTCATTTCATATCCTGCTCAACAGAGGTGGCCTTTAAGAAAAACTAGTTCCCTTAAACTGAATATGTTAGACCGATATGTTTAAGGCAGGGCCACCTTTTACCAGAAACTAGAGACATCTGTGAGGCAAATTCATTTTTAGTGTAAATGTTCTTAGGCTTTATAACAACATGCTGTGTATGAGCAGAGCATTCCCAAAGCTTAATGATCATCTAAGGTCAATGCTGGCTGTCAGCAGTCTCATGATTAATGTTTACAAGCAGGTCATTAATCTCCAGGAAATGCTCAGTATTTTGATTGCTGTTTGCTTAAATTGAGGTTGTGAATAATTTAGTAAAGAATGATTACGTGAACTTGAACAAAGAAACAACTGTGTTTTTCTAATATGCATAGGAGCACCTCCTAGTGAGCACAGTCCATAACTGAAAAAGTTGAAGTAATGTAGGTATCAGAAATACAAGAATTTTACAGATTTGTCATGCACTTTGATTAGTAAAAGTAAAGTAACTTCTTGTTAAAAGGGGAAAAGTAAACTAAAATGTAAAAAAAACCTAGATAGTTGTAAGATAGACTTTTTTAGAAGAAAAATGTTTAATTCTATTTTACAATAACATTGTAAAATATAACATTAAAGCATTGAAAATTTTTGTTTTAATAAGAAAATTTTTGTTTTTTGCAGGTCGGAAGGGGTTCCTTATTTGAAATAATCTCTTTTCCAGCAAAAACTGCTTTAACTAGCATAATGTATGCTTCATATGCAGCACTAATTTATTTGGTAAGTTAAGAAAATTATTAGAATCTAGTAATAAATATATTTATTTTGTGTAGTGTTACAGATAACACCATACAATAGAATCATCCACATTAATGTTTTTGAAGACTTTTCACAAAAATCTTAGTTTTTTACTTCATTTAGCTATAATTGTTTCATTTTGGCCATTGTTCCATGGCTTTAGTTCTGTATTCCATCATTTTGAGTCTATGACTTTGGAGAACACAAGTATTAGTGTACTGTATTTTGATTACAAGTGTTATACATGACAAAAATACAATCTCTTATCAATTATAAGGGATTTACTGTCTGTTAATTAGTAGATACTTATGCTTTGTTTTTTAAAACTGTAATAAAATGTTCACACCTTGATGAATTATCACAAAATCTATTAAACTATGTACCACTCAGATCAAGAGATAAAACATTACTGTCATTTACAAACCTCTTTCTTGCCCCCTCACAATTATCACTCTCTTCTATAAAGGCAACAAAGTATTTTGATTTGTAATATTGTAGGCAAATTATATGTAAAAGGAATAATATAGTATATACTCTTTTGCATTGTCTTCTGCTCAACATTGCCACTGTGATTCATTTTTAATAGACATTGCAAAACAGTTTTATAAGATGATTTTTTAACAATTCACACTAATCCTAGAAGATTACAAGAATTGTAGTTGCTATTCACCACCACTGACACTTGGAATTGTTACCAATTTCTATTTTAGTCATTTTTGTGGGTAGGTAGTATTATAATATTGTAGTTTTAATTTGCATTTCTTTGATTATGGATGAGATTAAGTTTGGATACATTAGTTGGACATTTGGATATTACTCTCTTTGGTAAATTTTTGTTAAAGTCACTTTAATTTTTCTATTGAGAGGTATCTAACTTTTTAGATTACTGATTTGAATTTTTAAAATATATTACAGGAACAATATGATTATATATGGGCTTTTTTTTTATCTTATGACTTGCCTTTTTACTCTCTTAGCAGTTTTTTTAAAAGCAGAAGTTCTTAATTTTAATGTAGTTCAATTTATTAATCTTTTACTTAATGGTAAGTATCTTTTGTGTTTTAATTAAAGAATCCTGACCTATATCCAAGGTCATGAAAATATTCAAATCTGTTATTTTCCAGAAGCTGTATTTTTTTGCCTTCTACTTTTAGATTTATAATTCATGTGGAATTGGAATGAGGTAAGGTCTAAATATTTCCCTATGGATATCCAATTGATTTTCCCAAGTTTATCAGGAAAAAGTCCTTTTCTTTCTTTTTTTTTTTTTTTTGTGGTTCTGGGGTTTGAACTCAGGTCCTTGCACTTGCTAGGGAGGAATTCCACCACTTGAGCCACACCTCCCCAGCTCAAATCCTTTTCTTATCATCCAAGAACATCATTCTTATCATAAAGCAAGTATAGGTCTATTTATACTTGCTTTATGTTTAAAATTCTCTTGTGTTTAACTGTTTTGTCTATTCTTGCACCAACTCAGCACTGTATAAATTGTAGGAGCTTTATAAGATGTCTTTGTAACTGGTAGAATAAATCTTCCTCCTAATGCACGAACATGGCACATCCTCCATTTATTTTGGACTCCTTTAATTTCTCTTAATACTGTTTAAGTTTTTTGGTTAGTTTTTACATATTACATTTTTGTTATTTTTTAAATCATATTGAAACATACAATATAAAAAAATTCCACAATCTATAGCTTCAGTGTACTCCCACTTAAAATCCAAGCAGGTATATTGTTTGTGTGTAAATTGACTAGCTGATTCTAAAATGTATGGGGGAATGAAAAGAATCAAGAATAACCAAATTACCATAGAAAAAAACTGAAAGTAGAACTTACTTTTGAACCTTTTTTTTAAAAAAACTGAATTTATTAAATGTTTTGCAAGTGTTTTAAATTTTTGAGAGGTTCTCCATATCTTAAATATGGCTCTCACATAACATTAACATCAACTGAAGTATGATGAAAACACACTGTAAAAAATGGATAGGATGAAACAACTGCAGGGAAAGAAAAACTAGACTAAAACCAAAATTAAACTTTAATTTCTCAAAGGCTGTTGAAATCATCCCATACAATTTGTGATGCTACAGATTTTATAAGTAGAAAATAGAAAGTTTTTGGTGACCTAATAATATATGCATCCAAGGCCCAGGAGAAGTCAAGGTTATAACTATGATTTTGAAGGCAAATAACATATATGTTGGAGTTTAATGCCCTATGACTGGAACCATGCCAAGTGAACATAGTAAGTCAACAGAAATGTGCAAAACAGCAACATTTAAGGTGAATGAAGAAGTGATCCATCCATGAAGGAGACAAAGGAGCAATGAGAAAAGTAGGAAGAAATCAGAAGAAATAGTGACAGAGAAATGAGAAACTCAGGAAATTGTGAATGGTTGTCAAATACAAGCAAAAAGAAAAGTCAAGTAAAATGAAGATACAAGAAGCATCTTAGACCTAGTAGCAAAGATGTTGGACTTCATCTTATTGAGAACTATGTCAGTGGCATGATGGGACAAAGACGACAAATGTAGGTTACAGAGTAAATAGATGGCAACATAGAAACCAAGAACATTGACTGGCTTGACAAAAAAATAATAAGGGCTAGAGCAGTCCAGAGAGAAACATGGTCCCAGGGATTTTAAACTTTAGAATGAAAGCTACACCTAAATTGCAGGAATTGCTGGTTAAGAATGAGAGGCCAAAGAGACAGGAAACAATAGAAAGATGGTAGGATATAAGTTAAAGATACAGGAATATCAACTTTGATCAAGACTCTTCATTTTCAAGCTGGGCAGCTCATGCCTATAATCCTAGCTATTTGGGAGGCTGAGATCAGGAGAATTGCAGTTCGAGGCCAGCTGGGGCAAATAGTTTATGAGACTTCATCTTTCAAAAATAATCAAAGCAAAATGGACTGGAGGGTGGCTCAAGCAGTAGATTGCCTGTTTTGCATGTGCAAAGCCCTGAGTTCAACCCCCAATACCACAAAAAAAGACTCTTCATTTTCTGAGATTGGGATACATCTTGTCAGAATGGCACAGATATAATTTTTTAAACTTTTTTTTTTTGGCACTTGGGGTTTGAATTCATAGCCTCATGCTTGCCAGGCAGGTGCTCTTACCACTTGAGCCACTCCACCAGCCCCCAGATTTTTTTAGGTGAGGGAAGAAGGAATGTATCAAATAAGTCAGAACTTTTCAATATTTTTTTCACAGCACAGCATAGAAAGTGACTATATTAGGGTTAAATGGATGAAGGTTATTCATAGCTGAAGGTGATGGATATGAAAGTTTTTAGCTCTGGGTTTGGATACATTCAGCTGCAAATAAGAAAAAAATATTTCACTGACATTTAAATATCTTAATTAGAATTGGAGTTCGGCAGTTCCTGGCTTTCTACAGTGGGATCTATAATGCCATCAAGAATCCCTGTGCTGTGGTCTGAATGTATCCTCCCACAATTTATGTTAACTAATCCCCAAGATGATAGTATTAGCAGGTGGGGGTCCTTGTGAGGTTAGTAGACTCTCACGAATGGGACTAGTGTTCTTATAAAAGAGCACTGAGAGTCACATTGTCCCTTCCACTATATGTGAGCATAGCTAGAAGGCACCATCTATGACTAGAAAGTGCACTCTCACCAGACACAGAATGTGCCAGCACCTTTATCTTGGGCTTTCCAACCTCCAGAACTGTGAGAAATAAGAATATTGTCTATGTTCTACTCAATTTGTGATATTTTGTTATAAAAATCTGAAAAGAACAAGACATGGGGGTCTTTCCATATTTTTATCCTAAAATTCATTGTTTTTAGTCCTTCCATTTGTTGCCTCATGTACAGGTATCATGCCTATGTCAGGGTTCAAATCAAAAAGGGGGGATAGGTAGAGGCAAAAGATAGACTTTTTCTTCAAATACGAGGAAAACATTTCCAAAAATCCTTCCCAAGCACACATTATTTTATTTTATTCACCACAGGGTGAGTGGTGGATGGGATTAGTGCCCTTATAAAAGAGGCCCCTGAGAGTTGCTTTGTCCCTTCCACCATGTGTGGCCACAGCTACAAGGCACCAAATGTAAACTAGAAAGGTGTATATAGTGGTTTTATAATGAGAGGTAGGCAAGAAAGAAAGCAGGAGGGCAGGAGGAAATTGAGGTAGTACAAGGCTCTCAACCCTTTCCCTGTCACCTTTTTGAGAAAATTTTCTGAGCTAGGCCATTGCAGGAACCACTTTGAGGATTTCCAGAGTAAGATGACGGAATAGAAGTATACTTCTCATGACTCTGCAAGTGAGGAGTCAGGGCACAAAGAAGAAACTACATTGCAACAATAGAACAAGGAAGAGCTCCAGGAATCAAGAAAAGAGGTAATGGGAAAACTAAAAAGCACAGAGAAACAGAAAGACAACTCAAAAAAGCACAAAGCAACCTGCAGTTCCTCCTCTCAGATCCTCATCTTGGGAAAGGGAACCCAATACTGCAAGCACAAAGTAAGCCAGAGAGAGCAGGAATCCCCAGAGATAATAGATTGGCAGACGGATGGTTCGTATAAGCTTTAAATCCAGTATGGGAACTTGATCTGGAAGTGACCTGTCCTGAATAGCAAGCTAGCTTTGAAGAAGAAATCCATTATATCACTCACTATCTCAGATGCTATAACCAGGAGCCATCTTGAGAAGGGGTGTATTGCTAGGTGCTGAGCTATTCTAGAGATCAGGAGACATAGAACAGTCACAATTTAGAGTCTCTGGGGACACCACACCATAGTGACTGGGTGGGAGACAGCCATGAGAGATACAGAGTAAGAGCTTCTGTCACAAACCCACTGGCATGTTTAAACAGCAGGGAGCATGAGTTGTGGATTACCAGCCCCACCTTCTGTGGCACAGAGACTAGTCAAATATGGTTTAGTGTGGGTCTGGGTCTAGGGCACAAAAATGGAGGCTGGCAGATTGCTCAGTTCTTGCCTCCCCCCACACCCCAACTCCAGCCCAGAGCTCAGTGGTTTGTTTGCTTTCCCCACTTGCTGAGGTATTTGGGATTATGCCAAGGGTTGAACATATGCCATGCCCCTGTGTGCACAACAGAGGGCCTCTGGAGCTAGTGAGTATCTGCTTGTTCCACACACCCCTGAATCTCATTGGAATTAGCAGCAGCTCCAAGTGTCCATGCAAAAAGCCTCTGGAATGAACTTGAGGCAGACAACACATCCTTAACTAAACCAGCAAGAAACACAGGATAGGCCTTATCCTACATACAGTACCAACCTGTTTGGTGGGAGCTGAGAGGAATTACAACAGGCTTCAGCTGCAACCCAGTATTGTCCCCACAGTTGGCAGATTCCAAAATTAGAGGATTCCAAAATTGAAAGAAACCTCTTCAATTAAAGTACTGACTAGGAGAAATTTTTGACTCATTTTTCTTTTTTTAATCCGCTCACTTTTCTTTACGTTTACCTAATTTTACTTATTTTTAAAAAATTCTTTAACTGGATTTCTTATCTCTTTTCCCCTTATTAAAATTTTTTTTCTCTTCTTTTACTCCTTCCCCTACCCCGTTTTATTTTAAACTGTATCATTTTTTAAAACTTTTTAGTTTATTCCACATTATTTTTGCCCCTTTTCAACTGCTACTGGTGGTGTGATTGTTATTTTTAACTTGTTTTTACTGTATTTCTATATGTGGTTTTTTTTTGTTGTTCCTGTGGTTTTCTCCTTTGAGTGGTACTTTGAGAAGGCTGCTCACTTATAAGAGCTTCACATAAATGTGGAAGAGATATCCATTCTAACAGATAAGCAAAAATCAATATAGAAACACAAGATTTATGAAAAAACAAGGTAACTCTCCAATTCATAATTCTCCAGTAACTGAATCCAAAGATATGAGAGTAGATGAAATGCCAAAAAATTCAGAAGATTGATTTTTTAAAATGCTTAATGAATTCAAAGAGAACACAAATAAACAGCTGAATGAATTAAGACAATATAGGATATAAAAGCACAATTCAATAATGAGATTCTACAAAAGAACCAAGCAGAAATTGTAGAAATTTAAGTAAGTCAAATGAAATATTCAGTTGAAAATCTCACCAACAGACAAGACCAAGCAAAAGAAATAATATCAGGATTTAAAGGCAAGGTTGATGAATTATCACATTCAGTCAGTAATGAAAAAAAAGATAAAACTTTATAAACAGAATGTACAATATGTAGGGAACATAACTAAAAGTTCAAACATATGAATAACCAATATAGATTAAGGAGTAGAAGTAAAGGTGAAAAAAAAAAAAGGCATAGAAAATCTATTTAGTGAAATGGCAGCATAAAATTTCCCAAATCTTGTGAAAGATATGGACATCCCAAATAGATATGGCCAGAAGAGACCCTCTCCATGTAATATTATACTTGCATTTCCAAACAAAGAAAGAATATTGAACACTGCAAGAGAGAAGTATCAAGTCACTTATAAAGATAGACCCCTCAGAACAACAGCACACTTCTCAGCAGAAATTCTAAAGGCCAGGAGGGCATGGAAGATATATTTCAAGCCCTGAAAGAAAATAACTGCCAGCCTAGATCATTATAACCTGCAATATTATTCTTCAGAATCAAAGGGGAAATAAAACTCTCCCAAAATAAGCATAAATTAAAGGAACTGATGACCACTAACCCAACATTACAGAAGACCTTTAAAGAAATCCTGCACACAGAAAGGGAAGCAACATAAAGACAATCACAAGACTGCAGGAAAGAGAATGTGGTGGAAATATTATGTATGCATGTATGAAAATGAAAAAATGAGACCTGTTCAAACTATTCCAGGAATGGGGGAATGGAGGCTAAACGAGAATTATGGAGGGGGTGAATCCAACTATGAAATATTGTAAGAACTTTTAAAATTGTCACAATGTACCCCAAGTAAACAATAATATGATAATAAAAAACGTAAAAAAAAAAGACTTAGATAAACAAATAAGAATCAGGACAGCATCAAATATGATTAATTCAGTAAGCCATCAAACCTCTAGCATGAATAAGGGTGAAAGAAACAAACAGATTTGAGACAACAGAAGAAAAACAAAATCACAGAAGCTAGTATATACTTTTCAATAATAAACCTGAATGCAAATGGTCTTTATTCGCTAATTAAAGATGCAAACTGGGTGACTGGATTTAAAAAACACCCAACAAACTGCTGCCTACAAAAAACTTACCTCACTGGTAAAGATACAGATAGACTGAAAGTGAAAGGATAGAAAATGTTATTTCCAGTAAATGAAATCTGAAAGCAAGCAGGAGTAGCTGTCCTCATTATGTGACAAAACAGACTTCAAGCCGAAATTGGTCAGAATAGACAAAGGTCACTACATATTGATAAAGGAAACCCTACTAGATTTTTATTACTGTGACAAATAATTGAAACAAATTTAAATGGAGTAAAAATTTATATGACCTAGTTTCAATCCAAGGTCAGCTGGTTCAATTATTTTGAGGCAGAAACAGCAGGGCAGTGGGAGTATGTGGCAGAAGTTACTTACCTCATGTGAACCAGGAAGCAGAAAGGTAAGACAGAAAGCAAGGGGCCAGGGAAATATGTAGATCCCAGGCACACATCCCCAGTGACTTACTTGCTCCAGATAGGCCCCACCTCCTAAAGTTTCCAGCACCTCATAAAATAGTACCACCAGCTGGGGACAGGCTTTCAACGCATGAATCTATGGGGGCATTTCATATCCACATCATGCTAGGGAACAATCCACCAAGAAGATAAAATGATTATAAATACATATGCACTGAGTCAGAACACCCAATATATAAAAAACAAAAACTACAAGATTATAGACCATAAAGGAGTGATAAACCCCAATACAACAATAGTGGGTGACTTCAATACCACCACCCTCACCAATAGATGGAGACAAATTAACAAAGAAACATCTCAGTTAAATTACACTCTAGATCAAGTGGACGTAACAAATGTCTATAGAATATTTCACCCAAAAGCAGCAGAATGAATACACATCCTTTTCATCAGCACATGTAACTTTTTCTAAGATAGATCATATTTTAGGAAATAAAGCAAGTCTTAACAAATATAAAAAATATTAAAATTTCTTGCATTTTATTAGGTTGTAATAGAAAGAAACTAAAAATCAGCAAGAAAAACTGCAGAAATTATGAATACACATGAAGATGGAACAATACATTTTTTAACAAACAGTGGGTCACTGAAGAAATTGGGTAGATTTAAAAATTCCTAGAATCAAATGAAAATGGAAACATAACATACCAGAATCTGTGGGATATGGTGAAAATGGTTCTAAGAGGGAAGTTTATAGCTATGAGTGTGTGCATTAATAAAACAGATCTCAAATAAAATAAAGATGTACCTCAAGGTCACATAAAAACAACAACAACAAAAAACCAAACCAAAAATTAGTGGAGAAAAGAAATAATAAAGATCAGAGTAGAAATAAATGTAGATCAATAGAATAATACAAAGAGTTGGTTCTTTGCGAGGAGAAAATGTACAAACTCCTAGCTCAGAGAAGATACAAATAAAATTAGAAGCAGGAAGAGGATATTATAATAGATGCCAATGAAATCCATAGGAACATTAGGGAATATTTTGAAAGATTACATTCTAGTAAATTTGAAAACTTAGATGAAATGGACAAATTTTTAGATACATATAACCTATCAAAACTAAACAAAGAGGACATAAAAGTAGATCAATAACAAGCAATGAGATTAAAGATATAATGAAAGGTCTTACAACTGAGAAAAGCCCAGGAATACACAGACTCACAACTGAATTCTACCAGACTTTTAAAGAAAAACTAGTATCAATGCTCTTCAAAGTAACCCATAAAATAGAAAGGGAAAGAATGTTTCTGAACTCATTCTACAAAGCTAGTATTACTGATATCAAAACCTGATAAGGACGCACACAAAAAAAGAAAATGGATGGGTCTAGAGGCCATCATGTTAAGTAAAATAAGTCAGAAATGGAGAAGTATGGTATGTTTTCTTTCATATGTGGAAACTAGAATTAAAAGAAGTCAACTGGTAAAGGGATTGGGGGGCAGAGAGTGGGGAAGGTAAGAGAGGGCAGTTTGGAGGGTGGATACAGTCAAAGCACTGTCTATGCATGTATAGAAATGGCACAGTAAAATGAGTATGTACAATTAATGAGTTAATAATTATAATAAAGTTTCCATAAAAAGAATAGTGATTTGAAATCAGAAAGGAAGAAAATCCTCTATTTACAGTCCATATGTCATCTTGAGGCATTTCGTTTGTAAAATAAACTAGTTTAGGTTCTCCTATGTGGAATTTTGTCTTCTCCTTATGTTATACTTGGCAGCATCATAAGTAAACTTATAAAGTTTAATAAATGCAATTGTTAGTGATTCTGATTTTTGAAGTTATTTTTCTGTTTTATTTTGACATTAAAGCACTGAATAGCATATTTTTAGGAGTAAAATGTATCACATTTGCTTAGAAATCATTTATCTACTAGCTTAGTAATTTCTTGCCAAAATATGCATGCCTTTCCATTGTACATATAAGTGTAAGCAAAATCAGGAGAGAAGAAAATCAAGACAAAAAACCTGCTTCAAGATATTGACATGTTCAGGGACAAATTCCATCTTTCAGAAAATTCTTTTAATTAAATCAAGAGAATAAAGATGAGAAACAATTAATGAATTGAACAAAAAAGATGAAAAGCACATCTTTACTGAAGCATACTAAACACAGGTTTTAACTGTCTGTACACTGTCATATAAAATATTTAAAACAAGGAATCAATTGTTGAGTCCTTATCATGTGTTCAGGGTTCCTGAAAGAAGTGCTTTTTAAATGAGAATATGTAGATCAATGACTTATATTAAACATTTTGTTAACTTTTTAATCTGTGGTTGTTGATAACTTAAAAAGAAACTTTACTTTTCAAAATATTTTTTAATGATGTAGGCAGTCTGTGCCAATGCTGTGCTGGAGAAGGTAAAGTACATTTTCCTGGAAGAAGAATCCATAAGGCAGAACAGAGAGAATGGAAATTACAGAAAAGCCTTTTCTGAGCCTGTGCTTTCAGAACCTAAGTTATCTGGAGCTGAAATCAAAGCAAAACCTTACAGGTCATTGCCAGAGAAGCCAGACAAAATTGCAGATCACCTCAAGCCTGCTGCTAATAAGCAGAGTAATAAGATCCAGGTTTTACATTCGGTGTTTGACCAGTCAGCTGAAATGACTGAATGAGCAAATCTGAACACAAAAGTTTGCACTGGCACATTTCATCTGACAAAACTAGGAGACTAGTTTACGTATGCTGAATGCTCTGCTTCACACAAAAAGAGGGAAGGTGGGGGGAGAATTACTACCATGTCATTCTCTAGTATCTATTTGGCAGAGAAAATAAAATGAATCCTCATGCAGAATATAGGTATGACTACAATATTTTCAATGAACAAGAATATTCACCCTTTGTTGGGTTAGACTTTACACTCTGGTTTATAATACGGGAATATTTATAATACATTTATGTTTTTATTTAAGAATTGTCTATTTGGGAGGGATAAAAACCCTATGAAAAAGCTATACATCTTTTTCAGAGATTAAAAAGAATAGTTTTTTCTATCTGCAGGCTGTACAGCTTGAGTCTAAATGTTTTTATAATTCACTTGTAAAATTATAAAGGACTTAAAATTCACAGATGCCATGAATCTATAAAACAAAATATTATTTACAAATTTGATAAGATTTCTGTATATGAGGACAGGACATGAAGATGTGACCTTTTTTTTTAGAGATGGTATCTTGCCATG